TTTTGACATGGCCTCCTGTGGGCTGGAGGGAAGGCCTTGTCGAGCATCTTTATTAGGTCGCCCAGTCCATTTTTGCCATGGGTTCCGTTGGGCTGAAGGGGGGGGGGCAGTGCTGGCGATTCTTAGGTTTGGCTCTGCACAAACCAAGGAATCCTGACATGGCTTTCTTTGGGCAGAAGGGGGGTCCGTGTCGAACGTCTCCAGGTGGGCCAAGGCATTATGGCATTTTTGGCTGGCGGGGTGGCTGCGCCGACAATCCTCGGGTTTGTCTTTGCAGAACTCAGGGGATTTTGACTTCGCTTTCTTTTGGGCTGAAGGGGGGGCTATCTCGAGTACCCTTACCTGTGGCCCTGCAGAACCAAAGGAATTTTGACATGGCTTTTTGGGCGGGGGGGAGACCATTTCAAACATCCTTAGGCTTGGCGTTGCAGAGCCCACGGAATGTCGGCATGGCCTCCATTGGATTGAAGGGCAGGCCATGCAGCAAATCATTGGGTTTGGCCCTGCGGAGCCGAAGGGATTCCGGTATGGCTTCCCTTGGGCTGAAGGGAAGGCCATGTCGAAATCTCAGGGTTTGGCTCTGCAGAGCGCAAGGGATGTTGACATGGCCCCCTTTGGGCTGCAGGGTTGCCAATGTTACGAACCCATCGTTTCGCCATTGTAGAACCCAGGGAATTGCGACATGGCCCCCTTTGGGAGGAAGGGGGGCCCATGTCGACAACCCTTGGGTTTGGTTCGGCAGAACCCGAGGCATTTCGGCGTGGCCCCCTTTGGGGTGAAGGGGGAGGCCGCGTCAACATTCCTTGGGTCTGGCCATGCAGACCCCGAGGAATTTTGGCATGGCTTCCTTCGGGCCGGATGGGGGGCCATGCCGCAAATCCGCAGGTCCGCCTCTGCAGAACCCAGGGAACGTTGACGTGACCTCCTCTGGGCTACAGGGAAGGCCACGTCATGCATATTTGCGCTTGGCCCTGCAGAACTCGAGGAAATTCGGCATGGCCCCTTTCGGGCTGAAGGGGTGGGGGCATGTCAAACATCCTGGGGTCTGGCCATGCAGGACCAGAGGAATTGCGACGTGGCCTCCTTCGGGTTGAGGGGGAGACCGCGCCGACAATCCTTAGGTTAGGCCATGCAGAACCCGGGGAATGTGAACGTGGCTTCCGTTGGGCTGACGGGGGGGCCGCGCCGCAAATCCTTCGGCATGGTTCTGCAGAACCCGAGGGATCTCGAAATGGCCTCCTTCGGGCTGGCGGGAAGGCCGCGCCGCGGAGCGGATCCTTGGGCGTGGCTTCCATTTGGCTACAGGGAAGGCCATGTCAAACATTCTTGTGTTTGCCACTGCAGAGCCCTAGTGCGTGCGACGCGGTGCCCCCCTCTAGGGCGAAGGGAAGGCCATGCCACGAGTCCACGTGTTTGGCCTGTCAGAACCCGAGAATTTTTGACATGGCCTCCTTTGGGCTGAAGGGAAGGCCGTGCCAACAATCCTTGGGTTTGGCTTTGCAGAACCCGAGGAGTTTCGACATGGCCTCCTCTGGGCTAAAATCTCAGGTTTTTCACACTATCAGTTAAACGATTTGCGAGCACAAGAAATCACATTATGTCCTCCTGGGCCCCCGTCAGACGAGCGGGAATGCGAGCGCAGTGGCGCGCGCGGTCGCGCGTGACACGCCGCTTTGAATAACGCGAATGCGTGGGCGTCGAGGCGACGACGACGGCGACTGCGACGACGGCGGCGGCGCCTGCTCCGACGGTGTCGACGGCGGCGGCAACGGCGACGGCGGCGACGACGAACGTCGCGGCGACGATGGCGGCGTGGCCCGGGTCCACGGGCGAACGTGCGCCCCGCCCTCACTCTTGGAGTCCCGGGCCAGATTTTATGGGGGGAGCGGATCTTCTGCGCGCAATTTACCCCGGCCGCTCCTCAGCTATACTAAAGCTCCCTTTTCGTTTGGGTAAAACGTCGTTTCTTCGGAATGCATCGAGCGTCGCACCTGCGCTAAAGTCGCTTCCTCGCTCTAGGGAAGTTTTTTTTTCGCTGTAGTAAAGCCGCTTCCTTGCTTTAGTAAGGCCGTTTTCTCGCTTTAGTGAAGTCCGCGGTCTGCTTTGATAAGCCCCGTGGACGCGGCGGTGATGCGGGGCCAGGGCCCGGTCGGGGGCAGGGGGCCTTTGGTTTTCCGGCCTGTTCACCCCGCGATGCATTTGCATTTGCTCGGGTAATCTGGGTCGCGTTGCATCGGGTCGCGGCGGCCCTCGGACATGGTTACAGCGAGTTGCAGAGGTGCTCCTTGACAGAAGATCCAGGGCGCGAGCGCAGGGCGTGGTCCGGCAATTCGGACGCGCCGCCGCGGTTGTCGCGCAACAGAGAAAACCATTTACAATGTGGCTTGTTTCCTTCAGCATATAGCTCCTTCGAAATAATGGTGTGCTTTTCCCGCTTCGAACGCCGTGCCAAAACATCATAGGTTTGGCTTTGCAGAACCCGAGGGATTTTGACGTGGCCTCGTTTGGGCTCAATCCGTGGGCATGGCTCTGCAGAGCCCGCGGATTTTTGCCGTGAGTTCCTTTGGGCTGAAGGAAGGGCCACGCCGAACATCTGTAGATTTGGCCCTGCGAAGCCAGAGGAATTTTGACAAGGCCTCCATTGGGTTGCAGAGAAAGCCATGCCAACAATCCTTGGGCTTGCTTCTGCAGAGCCCGAGGGATTTTGACATGGCCCCCTTTGGGGTCAAGGGAAGGCCGTGTCACACATTCATTGGTTTGGCTTTGCAAAACCCAAGGCATTTTGGCATAGCCTCCTTTGGGGTGAAGGGACGGCCATGTCAGACATATTTGGTTTCGATTCTGCAGGACCCAAGGAGTTTTGACATGGCCACGTTGCAAATCCCTAGGCTTGGTCTTGCAGAGCCCAAGGACTTCTGGCATGGAGTCCGTCGGGCTGAAGGGGGGGCGTGTCGCAAATCTTTGGATTTGGCTCTGCAGAGCCCACGGGATTTTGACGTGTCTCCTTTGGGCTGATGGGAAGGCCATGCCGCGCGTTCTTAGGTTTATCTCTGCAGAACCCAAGGGATCTTGGCATGGCTTTCTTCGGGCTGGATGGAGGGCCGCGTCAGTAATCCATGGGCCCCGCTCCGCAAGGGATTCTGGCATGGTCTCCTTTGGGCTGCAAGGAAGGACGTTTGCAAACTTTAGGTGTGGCTCTGCAGAACCCAATGAATTGTGGCATGGCCTCCTTTGGGCCGAATAGAATGCCATGTCAGCTGTCTTTTGTTTATGCTCGCCAAAACCCACGGCATTTTAATGCGGTTCCCTTTGGGCTGAAGGGAAAGCCTTGTCAAGCATCCTTAGGTTTGTCTCCGCGGAACCCAGGGAAGTCTAACGGGGCTTCCTTTGGGCCGAAGGAAAGGCCATGCCACAAATCTTTGGACAATATTGGGCTTGCCTCTGCATAGCCCGAGAAGTTATGACAGGCCCCCCTGTAGGGCAAATGGAACGGCATGTCGCAAATGTTTGGGTTTTGCCTTGCAGAGCCCGGTGTATTTTGACATGGCATCTTGTGGCTTGGAGGAGAGGCCGCGTCGCAAATCCTTGGGTTCGGTTTTGCGGAACCAAGAAGATTTTGGCATGATTTCGTTTGGGCCAGAGGGGAGGCCATTCCATATTTCCTTAGGTGTGGCTTTGCAGAACCCAAGAGATTTTGACATGGCCTCCTTTGGGCTGAAAGGAAGGCCACATAAAGCATCGTCGGGTTTGGCCCTGCAGAACCCAAGGAATGTTGACCGATCTCCCTTTGAATTGCAGGGAGAACCATGCCAAAAACGGGATTTAGACACGTCCTCCTTTGCGTCGGCTGAGGGGAAGGCGATGTGAATACACTTTGTCACAGGGCCCTGCAGAATGTGCGGGGTTTCGCCGCGGCTCCCTGCAGGCTGAAGAGAACGCCGTGTCAGTTTCTTTGGTTTTCGACATGGCCCACTTTGGGCTCGGAGGGGGGGGGGGCGCCCGCGCGTTTTGTTTTGTTTTGCTTTCGCTGCAGGGTCGCACGGCCAAATTTTGTTCTGGAGCGTTGTTTGTTTTGAACGACAACCGCATCGGTTCAGCAGGCAACGCTTTCAAACTGCACGGTGAACGAATATAGCGTCGGCGCGTTTGGTTTTTGTTTGCGGGTTTAGCGAAACACGCTGTTTAAATAGCGTCTGTTGCCAGAGCTGGAGAAAAGGCGCGGGTGACACGTGCAACCCCGAGAACAGCGTGATAACTTGTTGCATGTGCATTCTGGTCGTCAACACGAGGTTGCACAGTCACAGTGGTGACGCGCGTCAGCCCGAAAACTGTGTCAGTAAAACAAATTGTATCACTTACATGTTCGGCGCCATCATGGGGTCATACAGTGTGAGAAAAAACATAGGTGAGTCATTTATGAAAGGGGGTCGCGCGCAAATACTTCGCGTGGCCCACGCGCCCGTTCATTATTCCAGCGATTGGGAAGGTAGCAGCGAATGTGACGGTTTTCTTGATTCGGGGGCTGTCCATCGGCAGGAGCATGTTAACCCCATTAATGGTAATTGCGGAGCGTTGCCGTCAGCATTATTGTACGGGGCGCGTTGAATGTCACAGGATCCTGGAACATTGAAAGAGTTGCTTGTTGCGCGTGCCAGCTCAAGGATGGCGTGCCGCGCGTTCAGAACCTTCTGTAAATGACGGGGTTTCGCAGGTCTCAAAACGCCCTAGAACCCCATGCGCGCCCCTGGATGCCATAGGAACGGGGAACCTGCGGAATTTGTTAGGGATCGTGGCCTTGGGAGCTCGGGCGCAGTTAATTTACGCGGATCTGAAAGCGCGGACGCAGTGTAATTGAGGAGGATCGTGGCCTTGGGAGTGCTGACGCAAGGGATTGCCCCCCATCTCCCCATCCTTCCCCCGCCCCTCGTGCGTTTTGCTCCTCTGTGCGTTCCCCCCTCTCGTGCTACGTCCCCGTTGCTGCGTCGCGAAGCTCCCGCGAGGTGGACCCTCACCTCTGCAACAACGAGGGGCTGGTCACAAGGCTTGTGGACTGGGAGGACGCGGCGCCGGCCGCGCTGGGAGGAGACGGAGGGGGAGGACGGAGGACAAGACGGCATGCCTCACGATCGGGTTTGACAAGAGCTGTCCCTTCTGGCTGTGCAGTTGCCTTGGGTGGGGTGCGGGTCCTTCTCCCTCCTCCTCTGCACGTGCATCAGGGTCTGCGCCTTGGCCCCGCCCGCGGCGTCGGCGGCGTTCGGTCCAGGAGAGCTGGGAGGTGGGCACGCGCTACGTGCGCCACGAGCAGCTGCTGGACTCGGCCCGCCGCCCACCAGCCGCCTCGGCCCCACCCGTGTCCTGGTTCGTCGTCGCCGCCAGCGTTGGCGGCAACAGCGCTGCTTCGCTGTCCGCGTTGGCGTCGGATCGGCGTTGCGTCGGCGTCTTCGGCGTCGGCGCCGGCGTTGGCAATAGCGTCGTCGTCGTCGTCGTCGTCGTCATCGTTCCCATTTTGGCTCAAGACGGCACCCAGGCAGCACTGGAGATCGCACGCCCGTCCAGGCGGCCCAGCCTGGATTCGAGGCAGGAGTTTCTTGTATCTTTCGAGTTCGAGCTTTCCTCGCGCGCATTTTGCAGCGGTCTTGGATGGCTTTCGCGAACGCCCCTCCGCTTGTGCTGCTTGCTGGCGCGGCCGCCGACGCACCTGGCCAGGTCTGGGAGCGGGAGCAGCGGCGTAGGACTGAGCTGAGCGCGGGCGGCGTCGCGATGGAGGATCGTGACACTGACGACGACATTGTTCCCGTCGAGGTCCAGCGTGCCCCGTCAGCACAGGTAGTCGCGCCGCAGGCCGCCCCGAGACCCCCGACCGACCCAGCGCAGCTTGGACTGGCGCAGTATATCATCGGGGCTCTCAACCAGTCGATGGAGGTGAAGCTGGACGTATTGCAGACCCGCGTCGACGCACTGCAGCGCACCTCGGAGGCCAGCAGCCGGGACATCTCCGCGGTGCTGGCCAACCTGAGGGCGCAGGAGGCCAGGTTGGAGGCTTTCGAGGAGGGCCGATCCTCGGCCGTGAGCTCGGTCGGACCGAGAGCGGGCTTAGGGTCAGCCTCCCATGTGAGCGGCCAGCCTGATCCGTGGGGGGCTTTCCTGGATCAGCAGCGCGCGGGCGGGATGCCTCCGCCGACAGCGCGGCCGCGAGGCGGGAAGAACAGCAAACACGTGATGTTCGTCGCTGGATTCCCTGGCACATGGGACAAGGATGAGGTGGAGAAGCACTTGCGCACGGAGCTCGCCAAGACGGTTTCCCTGGAGGCGCATGGGATCACCGAGATCTACGGAGTTGGGCGGTTTTGCGATCAGGCCAAAGTGGTCTTTGCAAACAATCAGAAGATGTGGGGCTTCATGAAGCGCTGGAAGGGCCAGAAGATCCCCTGCCCTGGGGCTCGCAACGACAAGCTGTGGCACAAGGTCGACCAGGACCCTCATGAGGTGGAGCTCTCCCGTCGGGTCAGCTGTGCGGTGCGGATCCTGCGCGAGTTCGGCATCCAGACGGGGCTGTGCACGGAGGAGTCGAAGCAGCGGACCTTCGATGGAGACTGGGACCGCGGACAGGTTGTGTTTCGCAAGAACAGCACGGAACGGCCAGTTCTTCTGCTACATCGCTCGAGGACGTCAGACCTGCTTGAGGTCAGCACCGACGCCGTGGCAGCGGCCGCCTTGGACCAGGAGCTCAAGGATCTGAAACTGCATGAGCGCCATCAACGACCCCCCTCGGCTCCAGTGATTTCGTGTACGGGGCAGGCGCTACGTTAAGGACATCAGGGACCTCACAGTTCTTGGGTGGAATGCGAGAGGTGTCCTTGCGAAGCGGCGTCGTGCCGTGCTCGAGTCGCTGACCGACGAATTCGATGCGAGTTTGATCCTTGTTCAAGAATGGTGTGTAGCAGGTGGAGCCCAGCAGACCTATGACGGCTATGTTGTGCACGTGTCGCCTCCATGGGGGGCTTGGCAGAGGTGTGCGATAGCGGTGGCCAACTCCTCGGCGCCCTCCGTCATTGGCGAGCCGCAGTTCCACGGGCGCACCATGGCCCTGGACTTACAGTTGCCTGTCTGGGGCCGCGTGCGGGCTATCACCAGCCACCTGTTTTCGCATATTGTTCGATGTGAGTATGCTGAGACCATCCAGCAGCTACGATAATGTTTGACCACCATGCCGATTGATTGCCACGCCATTGTCAGCATCGATGCCCAGGGCGGCGTAGGGGTACCTGACGGAGACACTGTGGGCCCTTTCTCTACTTCCGAGATGACCTGGCGAGGGGAGATGCTTCGCGACTTAGTGGCCGAGTTTGATCTGATTGCTGCCAACGCCTATTCCCGTGGACAGCGGGGTCAGGCCACTTGCTTCTTTGACAATCGCAAGGGGCCCAGGCAGATCGACTTCATGTTGATCCACCGCGATTGGCTATCGCGGACGCACTGCCAGGCCCGCTTCACCGACGCCTCATCGAGCGACCACCTGCCGCTCCTCCTGCGCTGCCACGCGGGCCACGGAGTCCCCGCGATCGCTGGCCACACCGAGCCGACGCCGCTGGAGACCATCGAACGCCCACCACGGAAACCAGTGGGTTGGCAGGTCGAAGATGCCCAGCTGTTCAGCTCCACCATCTGCACGTCCCTGCAGATCAGCTACACTCCTCCAGAGACTGCGATGTACACTGAGGGGGACGTGACTAATGCTATGGGGATCTTCACGGATGGCTCTGCTCGGCGAGGACGAGACAGACAGCGGCGTCATCGGTGCCACGCGGCTGGCTGGGGGTTCGCACTCTATCACGTAGCCGAGCCAAGCGACCAGGACACCAGTCTTCTGGAGGCCTGTGGTCAGGTCATCACTGATGTGCAGGACCCTCGGCATGTGGGCGCGACGTGCCTATCGGCGAACACGGGTGAGTTGACAGCCATCGTAGAGGCGCTGCTCTGGCTACTCGGACAGCGTCTACTCGCTCAGCCACTCGCGCGAGACGCCACCCGCATCCTCGTCAGCACTGACTCTACGTACGTTCGCAAATTGTTGCAGGGTGTCTTCCAGCCGAAGGAGAACTTCGAGCTAGCGACCTTGGCCACCCACCTGTGGCAGCACTGCCAGACCTTTTTTGACATGATCATCAGATGGGTGAAGAGCCACAATGGGAACACGGGTAACGAGCAGGCTGACTATCTCGCCAAGTTGGGTAGTGACCAGCGCCACATCGACAGCCACTGGAGACGGCCATGCCCTGCGCCTGACTGGGACGCAGCCGCCTTCGAGGCCACCTGCGCTGCCCGCCAGGCAGCCTGCCGAGCGGCGCGGAAGCGGCGCCAGGCCGACATCCTCAGTGAGGACGCGGGCGCTGCGCTGGGTCTTCATCTGGCAGCGCCTACGGCGACAGCCTCCAGCACGCGCCAGGGTATCGCCGGGCCTCGCTGGGCCTGCTGTCCACCTCCATCTGCGCGGCCGCCGCGAAGGCTGGCCACGTTCCGCGCCGAGGCCGGTGGCGGCCCCCGCCAGGCGACGCCCAGCTGCTCCAGCTGCAGGCTCTGGAGCGCGCGCGGGCCGCGGAGGAGGGCCCGCGAGTCAGACATCTCATGGGGCCCGCGGTCTGCAATATGAAGCGGGCTATGAGAGATCGTTGCGCTACTGAGCATCTGTCCCGTCTGTGCGATCGCGGTCGAGCTGAGAAGGCCTACAAGACGGGGCGCCCAGTCTATTGCTTGGACAAGATAGATGGCGGCCAGGCGACCACCAGCGCCGAGCGACTGCAGGAGGCCCATGCTTTCTACACTCAGCTGTTCCAGGACGCGACCAGTGACGGACAGTTGCCAGACTGGATCCACCAGCAGTGGTCAGCCGAGGAGCAGCAACAGTCCGTGCCCTTGAGCCTCCCGCTCCTCCGAATGTGCATCGGTCGTCTGAAGAGCTGCGAGTCCTGTGACGAGACCGACATGATTGTGGGCGAAATGCTTCAGGGGCTGGAGACGGATGTCCTTGAGCACCTGCTGCAGGCTGTCAGACTGCGGCTCAGGAATCACATCTCGGACTATTTCGACACGGCCTGGAGCGATCACGTGGTGCAGCTCATCCGAAAAGTGCCAGATGCCCGCAAGATTAGTCAGTTTCGCCAGATAGCCCTGATTTCTGTGCTGCGCAAGATTTTGAGCATGATGGTGATGGAAACGCAACGAGGAGTGATCGAATCGTGCCGTAGTGAGAGTCAGTTCGCTTTTCGCAGAGGGTACCAGGCCCATGAAGTCATAGCTTGCGCCACTTAGTTGAGACATTTTGTGAGTATAAGGACCCCCCGCTCGTCGTTGTGGGCGGCGATATTAGAAAGTTTCATGATTTTATCCAGCGCGCCGCCTTGGCGCGTCGCCTCGACAGCCACGGGGTCGCCCGCGTAGCTATCTCGTTTTGGAATCGGGAGACTCGCCGCTCCAAGGCCAGGGTTCGTCTTCCTGGGAACGCCCTCGCGGACCCGATTTGGCGTGAGAAGTCTCTCATCCAAGGGGATCCTGCGGCGCCCGAGCTCAGCAATGTTTTCCTGGATCAGTGTCTCTTCGCTTTTCACGACCTCTGCCGTGCAAATGGCTGGGGTATTTGTCTGACCACCCCTGGTGAGGAGGATGAGGTTTTAGGAGTCTGGAGCTTAGCCGACAATTTCTGGATTTTAGCGAGGTCGGTCTCGATGGCCGCGATGATGACGGAAGCTTGGCTTCGGATCCTCGAGCGTAGCGGCTTAGAGGTTCCCGTGCAGGAAATGGAGTGGTGCCACGCATGCCCGTCACATATCGGCACGCTTCGCGTCCGTGGCACGTGCGTCCCCTGTCGAGCCCGAGCCGAAGGCTTGAAAGTGCTCGGGACTTTTGTCGCTTTCGGTCGTAGTTGCACTAGCGAGGTCTGTAACAGAATTCAACGCGCGTGGCGCACCTGGGCCGCTCATCGAACGATGCTGACCAATCGGAAGATTAGCCTTCAGAAAAGACTGAAGGCCCTGGACCGTTGTGTTCGCCCAGCCCTGACATATTGCATAGGGAGCTTACATATCACCGTCTCTGCCATGAGTGGGATTTCTAAATGTCATAATACTATGCTTAGACGTATGGTCCGCCCGCCGCGCGGAGAATCCGCAGCTGAATCTATGAAGTCTGCCATGCATTGCGTTGCTGATGTTAGAGCTAGATGCAATGTCGAATCGTGGCCCCAAGCCTGCAGAAGGATGCAGCATAATTGGGGGGGGGGGGGGGGGGGGGGTTCTTGCAGTCCTTGGGTAGAGCCTGTCCAGAGAGGATCGCATACCGCATCCTTCGTTATCACGACCGTGCCTGGATGACCGAGATGACTAGGTGGCAAGGCTCCCAGCTGCATCGCCGAACAGTCGGGATCTGGCGATGAGAGCGAGACTTCCATAAGTTTTATGGGGGCCACTGGCTCCTGAAGCCTGTCTCTCGCTTGAATGGCGGAAGTATTTAAGATAATTCTCGACGCTGCTACCCATTAAGTTTCTGTGAGCGGCGTCGGGCCCAGGAGGCACCCCTGTATGACGCCTACGCAACGCAACGCAACGTCACGGTTCCCGTCGTCGTCGTCGTCGTCGTCGTCGTCGGTGGTGCCTCGCCGAGCGTCGAGCTTCGAGGATCGAGCTTCGAGGTGTTTGGCCGTTTTTGGCGTCGGGCCGCAGTTTCCTGCCGCCGCCGAGCCCCAACGGGTTCGGGCTTTCTTTGAAAGGGCCATGGCCCAGGGATCTCTTCGAGTAGTGTTTACCCCCGCCCTCGGCTGAATGGGGCCAGCGGCTTTTGCCTCGAACTGTCTGTTCAGGTTGTCAGCGGGCTGTCTGTTCAGGTTGTCCAGCGAAACGTGTGCTTAGCAAGTGCGCTCAATAGAAAGATATGCACGTGAAAGTAGTTAGGTTGTTGAGATTATTTCGAGCAAGTCGCTTGTCCTGCAGACTTTGTTGATAATCTTTCTTGAGCGAAACGCTTGCCTTGCAGAATTTGAGGACTTTGGGCGCTTAAGGATGTCCCGCCATGCTCTGGCAGCGAAGAAGCAGTGTACTTCACAAAGGATTGTGGCCCTGGAAGAACGGACACTGCGTACTTTACAAGGGATCATAGCCCTGAGACTGCGGACGCAGTGTAAATTCTAGGCATCGTGACCTTCGGAGCGCGGCAACAGTATCATTCGTTGGCGGAGGGGACCTCTTACGGGGCCAGCGAGAAGCAGCGGGTCTTCTTCGACGTTTGTTGGTTTGAAGTGCTGCTGACAAAACCCCGCCGATTCTTATGGCGATGTCTTCGGTGGCACGAAGGGTGTGAGCAGCCTAACGTTCTCGGGCATTCTGACACCGTTGTGAAGGTTTCAAGTCGAACATATCGACAACCTGTTATTGAAGAGTTTACGGCAACTTCTTCGAGAGCGGGGCGGTGTCAATTCAGAATTCGATAGCCTCATCGTCCGTCACGACAATGTCTTGGGCAAGAAATCAGGATCGCATTTATCAATGCGGGTGGATTCGGATGGAGCAGATTCGATGCACGAGGCAATCTTGATATGTTGTTACTAGGCAGCGCCACGGCCTTGCAGATGCCTGTCTTCTCTCCGAACTCCACAATGAAATTTTGAGAAGGACGACACAGCTCCACCATCGCCAAAGTAGGACAGTTCGTCCTCAGCATGATCGAGCATGTGTTTGTTTTCCTCTTTCGATGGCAGCTCAATTGGCCTGGCGGACCGCCTCCGATATTTTACACTCCGATGGGGCCCTTACTATTACCGGGGATGCTCGGTGTGTAGCTATCCCCTTATTGTTCGACGGCTATTGTCTTGTTTGGATCATCAGCGTCTATGTCCCCACTGGCGGCGCCGTCGCCTACCGCACGCGGGTTTTTAATGGCATTACAAGTGTTCGGCATAGGTGTCGCTAACATCGGCGCGCTCCTGCACTTGTAGATGGGGGCTGGAACGGACATGTAGGCCATTTTACAGTACCTAACGACATTCAGGTGGGTGAACGCTCACTAAAACATATGGAAGAATGGCATTTTCTCCGCTGGCTGTCTACTACAATGATGATCAACACGGCCACGTTCAACCCTGTCGTCTCGCGTGGCAGTTGGAAATGCACATGGTACGAACTTGGCTCAGGAGGGAAACAAAAACACAGACACAATCAATCGTCGATTCCCCAGAAGATATGGGAAAATACGGGAAGTGGGGGGGAAGACAAAAAACCCAAAGTATAGGAACATATGGGGAATATTTTTATTTGTGTGTCCTGGGGCCCCTTCAATGAGAGGTATATAATGCATCGCGAAGTTCACGGACAAATTTTGGGAGGCAGTTATCTTTGATCATCCCGAAGACTGGCACGCGTACGCAGCGAATCGCGAGACGAGAGTTTCATCAACAGCGAGTGCGCAACGTCCAAAAACAAAAAGTCAAAGCCCCTGTTTCCCTACCCCGCTATCGTGGCCCTTCTGAAAACGCCCAAAAGGTTCCACTGCCAATGCCGATATCGCGTACAGTAGCTACTCAGAGCTTATTATGACCGGCGCCCTCGACAGCATCACCAAGCATGCCGGGCAACGCCGTCGACCGCTACGCGGCGCATTCACATATTCACGGGCGGTTCAGGAAGTGCAGACAGCGCCGGCTGGGGCATGCAAGTGTGGCAAGATAGTCACGGCCCAGCGGTTACATTGCAATATCCAGATTTACAGTGGGTCTTCTCGCGTGCGCCGCGCCTGAGAACCAAAACCAGCCCCAATTTGTTGGCGGTTTTCACAACCAGCAGTGTGTTTCGTTGATGTAATTTCAGCATTGTTTTGGTTGCTCCGTCGCACCCGGCTTGGGCACGTGCCGTTATTGCAACTGCTGCGGAATCGTGATCGGATTGTCCGTGCAGTGAAAATGTCATTGACACCCGCGCGGTCGCGGTTCATAGCATATGTTCCAATTTGGCACGTGGCGAAGCGGCATTGCCGCGTTGGCAATCTGATATGAATCAGAATGCGCGACATATTTCGTTGCATTCTAAGCTCGCGGCCCAGATGAGGGCTCGTTCGCGATGCGGAGAAATGAAAACGCGAATTCCGTTGCAAACGAGCGCTTGTAGGAAAGACTCCGCAGATCGCAGCGGCCGTGGCGCGCTGCGGATGCAATGACCTCCAGCGCACTCAAAAGGGGCACCTGGGCCCTCGCTGGGCGCGGGCCCAAAAGTCCCCCAAAGACTTTGAATTCGGTGGGCGAACAGCATTGGGGGGAACGGTTCTGAGCGTCTTAATTTGCACCCGAGAGGGCGCCCCGAAAAACAACAGCAATTAACCCGACATCTTCCCCGAAGTGCGCCCCGCAAAATCTAAAGCCGATTCCCCATGGAGATATTGGGGGAGATTTCGGGGGAGGTTTTGGCGGCGTCGACGGTGGCCCGCACGTATGATCTCGATCGCGCCGCGTGCCTCCGCGGGGTCGGCCGCGCCCCCTTCGCGCGTGCTGCGAGCATTCGGCATGCCCCCAGGCCAGGTCAATCAGTTCGGCCGCCTCCTCGTAGGCCTCGGTCCGCTGCGCGGAATTTAGTTGCGCGGGCAACCCTCGCCGTGGCGTGTCCTGTGAGGGGTGCGTGATCCTGTGAGTCCGCGCCGTTAGCAGACTCTGGAATGCCACCTTCCTACGCGTGGCGACGGTTGGCTGCTTGGCGCACGGACCTCACGCCACTTTGCACGCGTTCGCCCTGGGCACTTGCGGGTGAGCGCCATGTGGCCCCTCTTCTGCGTGGAGGGCATTAAGCGGCTGAGGTGGCCATTTCCCGCCATGCGCGACAGGGGAACCATCTTGCCCCCTCGCGCTGAGAGGCGGGCGGGGCCTCCCTGCATGGCCACGGTCCTCGTGCGGAGTGCACCGACATGGGTGCGGCGCCGCCATGCAGACCTTGCCACTGGAGCTTTTTGTTGAGCTCCTTCCAGGGCCACCATCCTCGTGAGGGGTGTGCCGTTGTGATGATGATGATGATGATGATGATGATGATGATGATGATGATGATGATGATGATGATGATGATGCTGATGATGATGATGATGATGATGATGCTGGTGACGATTATGGGGATTGTGGTGGTGGTGATGGTGAGGACGGGCATGATGCTGATGATGATGAGGC